GCAACACCGTTTGCACATGCGCAGCTCATTCACATCTATGTCAGCTGCCGTGCAGTCACGGGAATATGCTGCTCCTTTCAGCCGGAGATAGCGCTCACTGATCAGAGCAGACACAGGGAGATGAGTAACTGTACCGGGAAAGCAAGACCTCGCGCTTACAGGACAGTACTGGCGACATTTGGAAAGTTGCTAAGGTTTGTCCAAAAGTCGCTAGATTTGTCGCTAGGCACTTTTTTGAAAAAAAAGTCATCAAGGGGGTCTGAAAAGTCGCTAAATCTAGCGACAAAGTCGCTAAGTTGGCAACACTGTGTCCAGCTCAGTCCTCTTTGCTCATCCGATATTTCCTATTTCTTGTTTGTATTTTCGCGCTCTCGTCGTTGATTGGACCCGCAAACCGAAGCGTACAGTATCTGCGCGCTGCTGCCAAAGGTATCTAAAACGTCACCCATAGTGTAGTGTTCATGTGAAATGTAGGACGGAGGGGACCAACGACCCAGAGCGTCTCTGACATGATTTGCATGATTGGTTCATGCATCACCGGCCAAACTGGCTGGTAAGTTTTTATCAATACCCGCCAAAATGATTTTTAATCCGCATTTGGCGGGTTGGCGGGTGTTAATTTCGAACCCTGGTTATCAGATCTCGCTGGATGAGGATGGCTCCCACTCCAGCTTCGGAAGCATCTACCTCCACCTCAAAAGGGTTCTCGGGATGTGGCTGCTGGAGGACGGGGGCTGAGCAGAAGGCACGTTTGAGTTTCTGGAAGGCGATGTCAGATTCTGGGGTCCACAGAAGACGAGTTCCTTTTCCTCATGTAAAGGGAGGTAAGGGGTGCTGCCACCTGCCTGAAATTCCAAATGAAACTGCAATAAAAATTTACAAACCCCAAGAACCGCTGCAGTTCCTTCATTGTGCGGGGTCGTAACTAGTCTTGAATGGCAGCAACCTTCCACTCATCCATAGCCACTGCGCCTGGCTGGATGATGTAACCCAGGAACTTTACCTGTGTTCGATGGAACTTGCATTTCTCACCCTTAGCAAACAGATGGTACTCATGCAACCTCTGGAGAACCCTGGGGACATGGGCTACATGCTGGGAGAGGGAAGAAGAGTATGTTAAAATGTCATCAATATACATGACAACAAACCGGTTAACCATATCATGGAATACGGTGTACATGAAGGCCTGAAATATTGATGGACTATTAGCTAGCCCGTACTGCATCACTCGGTATTTGTATTGTCCAGTGTGCATTATAAAGGAAGTCTTCCACTCGTCCCCTAGCCAGATCCAAACAAGGTTATAGACGCTGCACAGGTCGAGTTCACTGAACACCTTGGCTTCACAGAGTTGCTCCAAAGCAGAGGGAATCAAGGGCAAAGGCTCTCTTCATTTCACTGTAATGGCATTGAGTGCCCGGTAATCTATACACGGACGTAGTCTTTCTTCTTTACGAAGAACAACCCCGCTGTTACTGGCAAAGTAGACAGACGGATAATACCTTGCTTTAGGCCGTCCTCAATGTAAGCCTCCATAGCCACCGCCTCATTCATGGACAGGGGGTAGAGACAACCTTTAGGGAGTGGCGCCCCCTCAAGGAGGTCAATAGCGCAGTCGCATTCCCTGTGAGGGGGTAGCTGAAAGGAGAGCGATTTACTGAAAACATCCCAGAAGTCTGCATACTCGGTAGGGATGTTGGACAAATCCTCTGGGTCCAGACTATCCACCAAGGAGGCACAACAAGGTAAGGCCAAAGACTTGGATAAACATTGGGTCGACCAGGTAATAAGCTCACTAGAAGACCAGTGGATCTATGGATTATGCTCCTGCAAGGACGGGTGACCTAGAATCATGGGATCCTTAGTTTTGGGAAGCACCAGGAAGTCTATGGTCTACATAGAGAATCTCCACTCACAGTGTCACTGGGTCTGTGCAATGGGTGATCTTTCCTCCATGTAGGGGTTCTCCACTAACACCCAGGACGGCGACAGGTGTGGAGAGTGCCTGCATTGGAATCTAACTGCTGCACCAGAGCGTGATCCATGAAATTCCCGGCTGCCCCTGAATCTACGAGAGCCCGTGTATTCATCGATTCCCCAGCATATGCTATCACAACCGACATGGTAAACTGAGCCTGGGAAATTCCAAAAAAAAATTTTTTTTTAAATGCCTACCTTTGCGGAGTTCTTTGGGCAAGATGGACAGAGGACACGTCCAGGTTCTCCACAGTATAGGGAAAGGTCTTGCATGGTGCGTTCATGCCTTTCTGCCATGGAAAGGGGGGACCACCCTAGCTGCATGGGTTCCGTGCGTTCTTCCAGGACTGTAGAGGTAGTCCGCGTTACCATTGAGCGCGTCTGCTGCCGCTGATGCTCCCTTAAGCTGTTATCCAATGTGACCAACAGCCCGATATAATCCGCAAAAGATAATGCGGCGCCTTGAGAAGACAGCTCGTCCTGGATCTCAGGGTGCGGCGATAGAGGATCCGAAGGCAGTCCTCCGGCCAGCTCAGCCCTGCTGTGATGGTGCAGAATTCTAGAGAGAATTCCACGACGGTCTGGGTACCTTGCTTGAGATCAACTGCTCACCTAGGCTTCGACCCATGGCAGGGTGATCGAAGATTTCGGTGAACGCTTCCAGAGTGCCGTTGCCCAATCATGTGCCTGTCCAGTAAGCAACGAGATGACAAATCGCATGCTAGCTGTCTCTTCAACA